ACTGACAAAGCATTCATAAGTCTGCTGTACTTAATACAGATTGCTCATGGTGATGATCTAAGAAATGTAAAACATGGAAAAGTGATGGGTCAAAATATGGCATAAAAATTTATGCTCTTGTGTATGTGAAGACTTATTATGCTTTCAATTTAGACATTTATCCTGGAACTCAGCCATTAGGCCCTTATTTTATAGCAATAAACTGAATGATGTTGTGAACAGACTTGTGCCTATCTTCCCAACTAATCAGAATGTGACACTGGATAGTTTACTGGTTCCCAACTGATGTTCTCTTTGCTAACAAAACAAGCTGACCAGCATAGGAACTGTATGCAGGAACACAGCAAGAAATTCCAAATGAAATGCTGTAATTTAAAAACAGAATTGTACAGTTCAATCTTTGAATTTGAGAAAGATGTAAGATTGGCATTGCATATGGCAAAGCAAATAACAACAAAATATCAAAGAAAAACTTTCTTAGCAGATTGCAACAAACTTGTAAGAGACCATTTACAGCAGAGGGAAAACAAAATGTTTCTGCACTGGTGAACTGACAGGGGAACAGGTAGGCAGGGTATCACAAAGACCTACTCTGTTAACAGGAAAACCAAAAAGATGTCAAGTATGCCCTAAAGGACTGGACAGGAAAAGACAATATAAATGGTTGCAGTGTAAGCAATACTTGAGTATGGAATTTGCTGTTTTCATGTGTGAAGACTGCATGGGGTGTGACAGTTGAAACAAAGCTTTTTTTTTTTTTTTTTTTTTTTTCAGTAGTGGGTATCGTACTCAGGACCTTGCACTTGCCAGGCAGGCACTTATGCCACTGAGTTACATACCCAGATGAGCAAAGTTTATTTTTGTGGTAGACTTTTGTGTTTCCACTGAAGTTCATAGAGGTTTTTATTTTTGAAGTTTACTTTTAGGGTTTTTTAAAAAACTATTATTTTTTTTACTTTTAGGTTTTGTAAGTAAACAGCTGATGTGAAAAAGTTTTGTTTATTCTAAGCAATCATTACGAATTGGCTATTTTATTTTAGAGATTTTTATTTTCCTAAGTGCATTTTGTACATTATAGTTTGATGCTCCTGATAAAACAGGAAGAGAAGAGAAGTGACCAGACTGCCATATAGGAAAGGAAAGCTAAGTACATGTGCTGCCAACATAAGCGAGATGTGTGCATGGAATGTGCAGTTTTCATATGTGAAGATTACATTGGGTTTGACAGTTGACGGTTTATTTTTGTGGTAGAGTTTCATTGATATTTTCATTGTAGCTCATATAATTTATTTCTGATGTTATCTTTTAGGTTTTCTAAGCAAGTATACATAGCTAATACGAAAATATTGATATTTATTCTAAATGCAAAATACTTATTAAGGTACAATTAAATACCTTATTCTAAATGCAAAATACTTAATAAGGTACAATTAAATACCTTATTTTATGCTTCTGTTAACTATATACTGTAAAATATACTAGGAAACTCCAGACAAAGCAGCAAGACTATTGAGATGTCAAGTATGTTCTACAGAAAGACCAGGAAAGCATAAAGCATGTGCTTTCAATGAAAGAGATGCATGTGAATGAAACAAGTTATTGTCATGTGTGCAAACTGCCTTAGGTGTGATAACTAAAGTGAAAATTATTTTTTGCTGAAAAGTGCTACTAGCATTTTCATCATTCTTTTTTTTTTAATATTAGGGAGGGGTCTAGGGTCTCACTACTACATCGGACTCATAGTGATCCACCTGTTTACAGCCTCCCAAGAGCTGGGATTACAGGCGTGCGCTACCACGCCGTCTCAATTGCCGTCTCAGCGCACCCTGGGCATGGCAGGCCCAGAGATCAAACCCCTGGCCTCTGCACCTGCTTGCAGGCGCTTTAATCCGCTGAGCTATCTGGCCAGCCCTTTCATTGTAGTACTTATGGGGATTTATTTGTGTTGTTCTTTTTAAGAAATGTGTACCACAAGCTAGTCAATTTTGAAAATTCTGACTTTTTAAATTTAGTATTAAAAATTCATTACTTTATTTTTGAGATTTTTTTCTATTAAATATGTATTACTTAATATGTAACAAAACTCAAAATAAAAATTATAAATTTATCCATAAAATATTTGAAAGAATAAATGTGTGTCTTGCCTTGATGACAAAATTAGTCTTATATGCCAAAGGCTATGAGGGAATACCTCAAGAGATGCCCTGTGCCATATCTTGACTATAAAACATGGAAGCAGGACTGCACTGAGGCAGAGGCCCCAGACTTCAGACACATTGGCCTAGCTGGTCTACCAAGGCTAAAAGGTTCCCGGGCATTCTGCTTTCTCCCTCTGGCCATACTGTCACCTCTATAGAGGAACCCCAGGCAAGCAAGACTACAGAGGGGGAAAAAAGCTGACTGCTGGACACTGGAACCTGTCTCTTGGTCCTTCTCTACAACCTTGGCCTTCCTTCCAACTGTCATGCTGCAATAAAAAGAGTCGCCAGAGAAGAGGTAACAAGCTATCCCTCACAACCCTGAGGTTGTCATTTACATGCCTTTCCCTTCACTCATTCATTTTTAATTATGCCTAAATGTCCAGTTCCCCAAATTAGAAAATGCAAACACCATAACAAAAACACTCAGCCACCTTATCTTTGACAAAGGGGCCAAACATATTCACTGGGTAAAAGACAGCCTCTTTAATAAAAGGTGCTGGAAAAACTGGCTCTCTACTTTCCAGACTAACACTAGACCCTTATCTATCACAATGCACTAAAGTCAAAATGGAACAAAGATCAGAAACACTAAAATCTTCTGGAAGAGGAAGCAAGTAGAAATCTTGAAGGCATAGATACAGGTAGAGTTTATGAGCAAAACCCAGACTGCATGGGAAATACTTCAAAGAATCAAAAACTGGATCTCATATTAAAAAGCTTTTGCATATCAAAAAAAAAAAATCACCAACAGAGTGAAAAGGCAACCCACAGAGTGGGAAAAAAATTTAGCCAATTTTCCTGCAAAGGACTTCCTTTTTTTTTCTTTGCAGTACCAGGCAGAGATCGAACTCAGGACCCTACACTTGCCAGGCAGGGAGCTATCTTCCTGGTCTAAGACTTCTATTTCGAATATATAGAGAACCGAAATAAAGCAGATCCTCTTAAATTCAAAGACCTAATCCAAAATGGGAATCTGACATGTAAACACATTTCCCAAATTAAGAGATACAAAAGACAAATAAAAATATGAAAAAATGTTCAACATAACTGCACATTGAAGAGATGTGAATTAAAATAACACTGAGATTTCACCTCACCCCCCCCAAAAAAAATGGCTATCATCAAGAAATCAACCAATAATAAACGCTTGAGGGAATGTGGGGAAAAAGGAACTCTTCTCCACTGTTGGTGGTAGTATGGATTGATGCAATCACTGTGGAAATCAGTGGGGAGATTCCTCAAAAACCAGGATTAGAAGTCCTATTTGATCCAGCTATTGATCTTCTGGGTATTTTCCCAGAAGCATTAAAAACAACATACTGGGCTGGGGAGATAGCTTGGTGGTCTAAGCTCCTGCCTGGCAAGTGCAAGGACCCAGTTTTGATCCCTGGTAGTGCATGCTGCACTGGCCACTGAAATGAAGCGTGGTGGCACATGCCTGTAAACCCAGAGCTTGGGAGGCTGACAGGACGATCACTACAAGCCCAAGATACACAATTTTTAATAGTGAAATCTTAGAAATAACCCAAATGCCCATCAACTGAGGAATGGATAAAAAGGATTTGGTCATTTTATACAATAGACTACTACTCAGCCACAAAGGAAGATAAACTTGAGACTTTTATAGGTATATGGATGCAACTTGAGACCATACTCATAGGTAAAACAAGTCAGACCCATATGTGTAAACATCATATTATCTCCCTGGTATGAGAAACTGAAAGAGTAAATAAGTTCTAAAACATGAACAGATACTGTGAAATGAGAGGAAATTGTTCAAAAGGAAAAAGAAATTAGAATTGGTCAAACAGGAAAGGACAGTAGGGAAAAGGGAAAAAAATGCAAGTCAGTTTTATCATCAGAGTCACTTAGTTCATTAAAAAGGAAGGTCTGGGCTGGTGAGATGGCTCAGTGGTCTAAAGCACCTACTTAGAACAAGCTTAGCAAAGCACAGGGACCGCGGTTCAATCCCCCAGCACCACATGCCAGCCAGTCCCGCCCCCTGGTGGGTTGAGCTGGCCACACCCACACCCACACACACACTAAATAAATAAATAAATAAATGAAATAAAATAAAAAGGAAGGTCTGTACTAATACAGATTGGAGAAAATTTTATGCCCATATTTTATACCCTAAGCAACTATTTTTAAAAATAACATGTGATAAATTCACTATTGTTATTTTCCTATGATTTTGTTATGAACTTTTTACTTTTTTGATAAAATTAAAGAAAAAGAAAGTTCATTTCCCCTCTAATAGAGAGATATTTTACCTTGCTTAAATATTGTAATATATGTGTACCCAAGTCAAGTATGCTGCGTTTCCTTTGTGGAGACAGAAATAAATCCTAAAGTATGGGTAACTAAAGGTAAAATATTTGGGTCTTATATAAAAGGGAACTCAAAGACTGCAGAAAGAAAGAATTCAATCAATTCTTGCCTTCCCACAGCCCAAAACTATAAAAGAGCAAATTATAAACAGAAAAAAACCTAAGAGGGTTCTTTACAAGTTACAGATGTTTGTCTCTGGATAACAAGACATGATAAAATTACAAAACCCATCTATCAGTTTACAAAAAAGCCCAAAAGATAGACACCTAAATTTTGACCCCAGGAACCTGGTTCCCAGATTGCATTTCAGATTCTTAAATTAGTACTTCTAAATGCTCCAGCACTGAGCCTACAGATGGGACACAATTTTAATTTGTATGTTAATGAAAAACAGGACATAGCTTTGGGAATGCTAACTCAGTATCACGATCCAAATAAGACGCTGTAACAAAGGGATAGCTTACATACCTTGGAGCTATGGCTGCTATAGTTCTTTTAGTGCCAGAGATATCAAAAACCCACTTTAGGCAAAGAACTCATTGTATATACACCTTACAACACAGCAAGATTTCTTTCTTCCAAAGGGAGCCTGTGGCTGTAAAAACAAAACAAAACAAACCCTTAGAAGTCAACAGAGCAAAACATTACAGTCAAATAAAGCATTTGCCTAGGGTCCATCTTAAAAAATATCTTTGCTTTCACAGATATAAAATGTTTCTTATTTCTTCTGATTTTTATTACAAGAGATGTTAATTAACCTATAAAAACTTCTGATTAGACTATTTATAGTTATAAACTTAAAACTGTAAAAACTTACTACAATTCAACCTGGCCAAATACACCCGAGTACCCTCTGTTTTTTGTTTTTTTTTTTTTGGTACTGGAGATCGAACTCTGGACCTCACGCTTGCTAGGCAGGCACTATGCCGCTGAGCTACATCCCCGGCCCCACTCTGGTTTTATAAACAAATTGTCTTAAGTGTGTTTGTCCATTTGTCTGTCCAATCTGTAACCAGTTACCATACTTACAGCTGTTTTGTTTGAGCGCAACAATTTTTTTCTTCTTTTTGCCTTTTCAAAATATTTGCCTAGGGGGCCTGGCCCTAGCTCAGTTCTTTAAGTGGCTGCTTCCACAAAGCTGTCAGCCTCAGGTGGCTGTAGTTCGATTCCCACAACTCCAGCCAACCAAACCTGCCCTGAAGGCATTCCAAGCAAAAAATAAAATAAAATAAAATTTGCCTATAGCTGAAGTTGGCTTGTAGATAAATGTTATTAGAATTAAGGACATGCTTCCACCCAGGTTGCCAGTTGATGAAAATGTCAAGACTGGTTTTACAAATCTAATGTATATTATTGTCTATATACATCTTGAGTGTTCCATTTGTCAAGAATAATGTGTTAAGTTTATGACCTGATTCTCACAGGTCATCTGAAAAAAATTATTTTAAGATAATTAAATGGGGACCTTAGGGAAACTGTTAGACAGGATTCTCCTTGGTAAGCAAAGGAGCAGCTACCTAAAAATATTTTCTTCTAATCATTGTTTACTAATGGGACCTCAATAATCTTAGGGGAAACACACCTCAATAAATGTTTTTAAACATATTATTGTGAAATGTTTATGTTAGCCATTGGCAAAACGTTAGACTTTCTGTAAAGAAAAAGAGTTTTACTTAAAAAATGCTCTTAGTACAAAACTAAATTAAGGGACAAAGGGGTTTACATAGCTGTAATACTATTGCTAACTTCATGGTGTACTGAATGTATTCATGCCTTCCTGGTGTATAGGTCTTCTAAGATGTAAAACTAGGATTGTTTGTGGTGATACCATTTTTCTAAACTCAGATTTCTCTCATACTCTAGTACTTGTGATAAGAGGTGTATGTCAAAGACATATGACACTATCTGTCAAATGACAGTTTTTGTAAAAAAAGGTTTCTGTGATGTACACAGTATATATGTGCCACTACACTTGGAGATGCTCGGGCACTGAACAGTCTAGACAATGTCATAGACTTCTTTGATGACGTAACAAAGTAGATGAGAGCTTCTTTATGTATTAAATAGAGATGACTGGTGAAAAAGACTATCTTACATTAAGGTAGACATTTAAATGTATATTGAAGATAATATCACAGTCGTTAAGTTGATAGACTATGTATGCTCTTGACCTCAAATGTCTTCTGTAAAACTTTTATAAGTGTTGTCTGTTAACATTCTACAGGGATTTAACTACCAAAACAATCACAGTTGGTAAGAAATAACAGTCCTCCAGCTATAGATTATATTTCAAAGTGCTTGACATCCAGCTACAATTATAATAGTTGAAGTCACTGTCCCCAGTGTAATACTAATTTCATTGATCTTCTCTTGTGGGTATTCAACAACTAAAATTTAAAAATTGGAACTAGAAAGGAAACTAGACTAAAAGGATAGCCAGTACATTGGACCTGACCTTCCAAGGTCAGCTGACAATGACAAACGAGCTGACAGGATCTGTATATAGTTCTAAAGTAATACCTGAGAAGATTAACTAACCTTGATAGTCAGTAACAGCTAATTTTAATTAACACAGTTCTCACTTTAACTTGGTTTTAAAGATCAAGCGGAAGTATAACCAAAAGATATATAAGAAAATGCCATAGTAATATAAAAAGAAGATCTAATTGCTGACACCTTATGGCAGCTTCCAGTGACAACGGTAGCTACTATTACGGGTCATTAAAAACTATGATAGAAGCTATAAAAGTGTAACAAGAGTCTTTAAATTCTTCAGCTAAAACTGTTTTTCAAAACCACCAAAATCTCCATCTTCACAAGCTAAAACTAGAGATACTTATTACAAAACATCAGACTTTATTAGTAAAGGGATCTAAGAGTCAGTGGGTTATAGTCACTATTCTAGTCCCTTAAAAACATTCTGGACTTGGCTCTTGCTGCAACTTGCCTTTCAGTTTTGGTGCTTATGCTCACTACACTTGGAGGCTGCCAGGTCCCAGGTGATAGTGCAGCGTGAACCAATCACAGACATGCCAGACTCCTTTTACTGGTATCCACCAGATCAAACTTGTAGAGTATGTCATACAACACATTGAAACCTTAAGAAGAAACTATACTCAGTGGGGCTTACAAGAGACCTCAACTAGTGTTGGTCTGTCTCTCTCCCTCCTTCCTTTCTAAAGAAAAAAATACAATACAATACAAATTAGTAAGGCAAGCTGTCCTCCAAAATGGATGACAGTAGACATTCTAACAATAGTACTTGAGGGTACTTGTGCTACTACAAAAAAATACAAACTAACTGCTGTGTGTACATTCTGGATTCTTCTGCTAATATCTTGATGACTAATGAAGACATTACACAACAGGTTAATGTCATGTTGGATTCTGAAACAACCTGGACTTTCTCCTTACCTTCTCTGTAGGAAGCTATTATTAGCTGTTCCCTGTGAAAATATTTTTTTGGGTGTACTTACAATAGTTTTGTTGTTTTTACTGTTTGGCCCTTACACAGTTAACTGTTTCTTTGACTTTGTTTCTTCTAGACTTAAAGTTATGCACCTACCCAAGATGAAAACATCTCACAATGTCTATCAAATATCTTCGAAATAGACCCTCTGGAATGTATCTTTGTCAATCACAACTATGACTTCCTTTAGCCAAAAGAAACCAGAGTAACATTTTCCCCCTCATGGCAGTTACTGGTACCTATTCCAAGGGAGGAATATTATAGACAGCTAAGGTAGGCAGAAATAGGTAGTCAGATAGGGCTAGACCCCTGAGAGAGCCAGGAAAAAGGTGAAATACTTCTCAACAGTTGCCGGAGACACATCTATTGAAGATCAGGCCTATATACTTTCTTAAACAACAAACACTAGGACTAGTGAAGCCTAGACAGAACTCAGTCACCCCAATGGGTGACCAATACCTCTAGACCCATCATTTTCTAGAAAGTCCTCCTTCTTTCCATGCCTGCATACTATGTGACTTGATTGCCCATCAGATCAGTATTAGCTAAGCAGCTACACTTATAATCTTACTGGATAATCACAGCTGTAACTCACATTGTACATATGTGGGTGTTTTTTGTTTTGCTTTGTTTTTGTACCGGGGATTGAACTCAGGACCTTGCACTTGCCAGGTAGGTGCTTATGCTGCTGAGCTATCTCCTCAGTCATATGTGGGTTCTGCTCTATAAAACATGCTTATAGACTAAGATGGCCTTCAGCCATCCATTTGGGAGTCCTCCTTTTCCTCTGATGGGAGCTTTCTATATTCTCAATAAATATCTTTCTACTTATAACCTCTGTTGCTCTTAAAATTCATTCTTTAATTTTTAGGCTGGTTTTTTATTTTTATTTTTTATTTATTTTGCGGAACCGGGGATTGAACTCAGGCCCTTGTGCTTGCCAGGGAAGCACTTATTCTACTGAACCATCTACCCGGCCCTTCATTCTTTAATTTTTAGAAACCACAAATGCTGCATATCAGAAATCTAGGAGGTTGGGAGTTATAATATTTCCCTCACATCATGTTTGGAGGTTCTGCTATCACCCCTGTAATACAACTGTCTTTAATCAAAGCTCTAAGTATTCCCTGGAAAACAGGATAAATATGGGGGCTCTGCACATAGGACACCACCAGGTCTAAGTAAAAGGAATGCTAAGGCAGGTTTAAAAGAGCTCTCTAGGACCTGGGGAGATAGCTCAGTAGAATAAGCGCTTGCAGGGTCCTGAGTACCACAAAAAAATAAAAAATAAAAAAAATAAATAATAATAACAAAAGCAATAAAGATGGCAGGCAAAGTAGAAGCCAGCAGTGAGGCACAGACTCTGGGATCTGGATCTGAGACACTTGGATAATAGCCACTTAGAAAAGAAAAAGAGAAGGGCTCTAAGAATTAAGAATGGACCTACAGGGCTGTGAGAAACAGAAACAGAAGACAACATGGAGAAAAGTAGTTGCTAATCCCACCTCCCAAGGAAGGTCTGACTCTGCAAGCATAAACTACTTAGTTTATTCTATGCTATTATTGATTTCCCTTCTATTGTTGTCTCAGTGACTTTTTACTTGTTGATGGAACAAAATACCTGACACGCAAAATTAAGAAAGGAAAGGTTTATTTAGCTCACAGTTAGTGGAGGTGTCAGTGTATACTCAGTTGACTTCAAGGCAGAATAACTCATGGAAGAGGACAGCCATTCATGGCAGCAGCAAAGGGCAAAGAACAAAGGGAGGGCCAGCAGCGCAGGCCCTCTCTCTCTCTCTTCCTCACATTATAATGCAGATTGCCTGCCCCGGGGGAGTGCAGCACCCACACCCCACAATGATCAATCACAAACTCCAGAAGCTGCCCCATGACTGCATGAGGTTTTGGGGGTACACCTATAACAATTGCTATTGGTAGTATAGCTGTTGTTTTTGGTAGGTCTTTAGTGCATGGCATTATATATTTTTATTAATTTTAATGAAAAAGAAATAACAATGAGACAGTTTCAAAACAGGTTAGTAGGACAGTTACAATAATTAATACATTGCATATTATTGTGTTTGTAGTTATTCAGAGTACAAGATGCAGACATGATATCTTGTCTA